ATGTATATATATAAGATATATAAGATATATAAGAAGAATATATAGCCTCTTAACTAACGTTGATCTTAAATTGTCAGCAATAATAAGGACTCCATTACTGGATATGGCGTGGTCTCCATTTGGGGTTATCGTATCCATATTCAGATCGACAGTGCATAAGGTGAGAGATTGTACTCCGTACTTTACCCGTATTCGGTGGCGTTGGGAACGAGACGTTCCGGATGTTAATTATCCCCCAGAAGACATCAGATGATTTTTGGGACCGATATACTACCTTAGGTAAACAACCTACAACGTATGTTATACAGGGGTTACCTACTTACCTACTTACCTACGTACTTCAAGGAGTAATCTGTGCAATTGGGGAAAGAAAAATGCATCCGAGGTGGGCCGACAGAAAATGTTGAATTCTGGAACGTCGTGTAATGTTACATTACAATACCATACACTACCTCGGTTATCAGATCAATCAGATATGATTCACCCGTCTCTTTTATGTCATCACATCTGATAACCTAGTTATGTACATAGGTACTTTGTACTTTGAAGGAAAACTCTTCATTTACACATACTCACTTACACATTCATCTCCACATATAAGCAATAGGTTCTATCTCATATCAACTGAGGCAATTCTGGAAAGGGGTACTTATGTCCTAAACAAATCCCCTGGGCCCAAGCCTCGAGCTCCCAGTCCTCACAAAATACTCCCCCACTTTCCGGTCAGCCGGACCTAGCCTGTGTGTTCCGTTGACCCATCACAGCTCTCCTAGCTTACATATCCTTTGTACTCGGTAAATACATTTCCCAACCATTCGGTCCAAAGTGGGGAGGTCGAAATCAATCAGTGGGTCTCAGTTTGAATGAGCTAGGGATGTTCTAGAAAAACAGTAAACAGAACAGATAACCCACTGGCTACTCCGTACTCAGTGATTCAATAATGGATAGCTCATCCCTGGGGCTTTTGGTGTGTCCTATTCTTATGTACTAGTGGGTACTATACTTGAGCGGCTGCGTTGGTCCACTCTATCTCCTTTGTCACGCAGGGTACGAAGGCTGGGGTTTGTAAATACAGTAGCCCTAGAGGCTGTATAAAGGGGAAACCTTAGGAGACTAACGGGTTCCATCTGATAACTTAATTTTAGTGCCGATGACCGGCTAAATAATCATGCCCATTCTCCTAGAAGTTCCCAAAGACATCTAAATCGAGTAACTATCACCGCCAATAGGGGGGCCACATTATTGTACTACATACTTCATAAGTTGGCCTGTTTTAACAAGGCGACCGAATTAATGATGCTCAAGCTAATCATAATGACAGAATATCAATCGTACCTATATACGGAGTACATCACATCATCACATCATCAAAATATTCAATCCCTCCAGCAGCCAAACACAGACAGAAAATAATAACAGAAAAAGAAAAAGACAATCCCTCTAACCCAGCTAAACGCAACCTTAATTACTGTCATCTCTGTGAACCAAAGCCACGGGGGGAATAAAATGATGTCTCCCCCTAACTAGATAATAAATCGTCGCAGATCCAACGATGGCAACATACATCGCCACGCTCCAATTCATCGTTTCAACCGTAACATCCGTCGATAGGGGGAAAAACGCAAAGACAAAGATCGGACAGAGGAACGCCAATGCGCCAACATTCACCGCCATGCCATATTTCCCAAGTGACCACCGGTGATGTGGGAGAGGCTCGCCCCGAACCCGTTTCAGAAACACGCATCCGATCGAGATGATATATGCGGACAACAGGGATGTGATGGTAAGCGAGATAACCGCGTTCAGAGCGACCTGAGACCCGATGTTGATCATCGATAGTAGCACTGTGATGACCAAAGACACCATCACGGAGTTAAGGGGGATGTTCCAACCTGGTGTGACCTGGCGATTACATGTTAATGAGGCTGAATCTACACCTTTTGTTTCTGAGGCCCCACATGAATCAGCATAGGGAGAAGATGTGGCTTACATATGCGAAAAAGGACGAAAAGGGCAGCCCCTCGTCCCGAGCAAACGACCAGAGCTGGCGCGATGCCGTCGCTACTTCGGTGATTGTACTGGCGGTCAGCGTTACCACCAGCACAACTGTCATGGCGTTTGTCGCCGCGATGCTACCCGTGGTATTGTAAAATATCTGGATAAACGGGAATCGCGTCGGGGTATCGAGGACACTGCCGATATCGCCTAGTGTGAAGCATAGTGTGACCAGCATAATGAATCCCAACACGCCGTTGACAGCGACAGAGGACATCATTGCCTTTGGAAGTGTATCTGACGCGTCTTTGATTTCTTCGGCTTTGGAATGTCAGCACGATATACCAGTTCTGAGATAGTGTATGGAGCTCTTACACATATGAACTGAACAATCATAGCCAAGCATAGAGGTTATGGTAGTAGATAAGCCGACCAGTGTTGCCGTCCCAGGGCTATCCCAGCCGCCTCCGTTGTTGAACGTAGTGAATACTGCGTGGGCATTATTGCGTGGTGCGAGTACCCACAACGGGATGATGATGGCGAACAGACCAACAACATGGATGATCAAGATTAATCCTTCCACGAAGGGAAGATTCTTTGCTAGAAAGGTGTTGAATAAGATTGAAAATGTTGAGATAGCAATTACTAGCATGGTGCCATGCCATCGTTGGAAGTCATAATCGGGCTGGTTCAAAACGATCAGGCCTTGAATGATTGTGCCAGCGAGGTAGGCGATGGACACAATAGCACATTGCCACCCCATTGCAGAAAGCCATCCTGAGATGACATGTTAGCCGATTAGACTTACACAGGGACAGGCTATGTTACCTGTAATGTAGCTGAGGTACTTTTGTCCTCTCTTCGGTGCGAACTCCGACACCCAATGGTACTGCCCACCAGCAGTGGGGGCCCTATTTGTCGATTGATCAGCAGCCATCTAGTCAAGGACCACAAATTGTCAGTCACATACATCGAGGCCATCTCAGCAATGCTAGCATACACAAGGGTGAACCCCAATGAGACGGCGATGAACCCCCATATCAAGCCCGCTGTACCGCCGTCGGTCAAGCCAGCCGCCAGCAATCTATTAATGGAGTTAGTGTTCTGCATGATCACTATATGCAGGGACTAGAACGTACGTCAAGATGACTTCCCATGTGCAGATTAAAGTGCATCCAAATCCAACAATTGAGATAAATCGAAAATTTCTCTTCGTAATGTTAGCCAAGCAAACACAACCGGAACAACAAGCAGAGCAACTTACTCGCAGAACCTGCACTCGACCAAGAGCATTCATATCACGCCGATCTGCAAGTGTGCCCATGTACCGAGGTTCAACAAGACCTTTCTGTGCGTACTCCTCGTCGTCTTCAAGACCCCTCATCGTCTGCTGCGAGTCAGGTCTGGACCTGCTGGAGACCGTCATGATGGCGCGGCGATTGAACGACCAAATAGAAATCTATCGAAGATGAGACGACAAAATTCCCCGCAAGAAAACAGGGAATTGAGAGAATAAAAGCAAAAGTCTATATTCTTGAAACGCGACGCCCCGAAGAGTCTAGAATGCGAAGTATAAAAGCGCCCAACAAAAAGCACCCTCTAGCAAAGCCAACCAAAAATGGCTACAACCAAAACAAGTAAGTATTAGGAGAAAACCCAGAGAACGGTGATCATGATGGCCACTGCGTTGCAGGGATCGAAGTGTGGTCTTGACGTGGGAGCAAGGCATGGCTTGGGGAAAAGAATTCTCGCGCGCCATGTGGGAGAAAATACCCCCTCGGAGCACTCAAGCAACTATCCGAATGATAGATCGGTGTTTGATCAATGGTGCTGCATCTAATCCAATTGGGAATGGGACATTTAAAACTTATTTTTGAGGTTTGTTATCCCTTGTCTCTTTTCCCGGAATGAGGATCACAATCCTTGCATGCCAAGGGGGCTGTCGATGTAATGTCTTTAAATTTGGGAGATATTGAAATACGGACTGACTATCGGGGTTGTAATGCTACTTTAAATCATTCAATTCTGTTCTACTCCGGTATCGCAGTTGTGTGTAGACGATTACGGGTGTCTCTATTAAGAGCGCACCAAAATGATAAGCAACATGAAGTACGAAATATAAACAATTCTAATCCCCTGAACAGACCAGCACCACTACCCGATACATTTCTGATGCGTCACTCATGCTAACCCTCTAACTCTATTAATCCCGGTCGCAAATCCCTTTGATACTTATCCTCCAGACAATTCCGCCACACTCCATATCTCGAAATGGCGGGTGAATGCATAAGCCCCTCGCTTGATTTGCTCAAAAGCAAACTATGTAAATAGCCTATCGGATAACAATCTCTCAAAGACCCGAAGCCTAATTCTCAAGGGGCGCATGCTGATCGACGACCCTACAGCGGAACACTGTGCCCTAAAGCCGTGTGCCTAGCCGTACTACCTCGAAGTTCGGTGTTCGACGTGAGGGAGAAAAGGAAAATCACCATTCCAACCAGATGGCTCAAACTTTCATCAAAAATAATAATTGGCACCATTTATACTCTCCAACGGAAGAAAGGGATAATAAACTAGCTATGCAGATTCGAAGTCTCCCCTCTAGCATCGGTCCATATCGAGCGAATCTCCCGGGGCCGCTAGCACTACATATGTATATGCCTAGACTTAATGATCCATATTTCTATCGGGTATTAGCATATGATCTCCAAAGCCAGTAACAATCACAATCGCAAGTGGACTGTAGGAAGAACGGAACCTAGCTCAGCCGTTATTGCCTTGCCTAAACGCCTGCATACCTCCTGCTCCGGCTTTTCTATACAACGTATACAAGCGCCTCAAATTAACCCCTTCTTCAATTTATTTCCGTCCATTCAGCCCACATGGCTCCCAGATCTGACAGCCTTTCACTGTCGCTTTTGTGTCTATGTTGATAAGCCATTACACATAACACAATATCCGTCCACATGACATCAATGATAATCCCCAAAAGGATACTTATCTAGACTCCGTCGTCTGTGGTGACTCCCGCTCTCCTCACTGCAATGGGCCCGTATGTTCCCGCAGGCCAGTCGCCGCCCTTCGAGGTCGTCGATGATATGCACCATGGCGCGTGGGTGATAATCACTGCTGCTATGGGGCTGGTTGTCTCCCTGGCGTGTTTCTTGATTCGGCTGTACGTGCGGCTTATGCTGATCCCGCCGTTTGCGCGCGATGATTGGGTCTTGTTGGGTGCTACGGTGAGTTAGGGCATGAGGAGTCGAGTCGAGTCGAGTCAGGTTTGAGTTGAGAAAGTATCTGAGCAGAGTGCTGACATAGTATTTCAACCGATGTAAAGAGTATCGCCGTGGTGCAATCAAGTCTCATTTTTTATGCGTGCTCGCGTGGATTCGGGACTTCTATATCGTTATTGAAGGATGGTCGACTCGATCAGATTCAGGCTGTAAGTTGTCATTTGATATGCTATTGCTTTGCTCCTATAGACCCAAACTGACCAGCTACTCAAGTTACTTGCAATAAGTGATATTATCGCGCTGATAATTATCTACCTCTCCAAATGCTGCGTAGTGGCTATCTATCTCCGCCTCACGCCGCAGAAACCACATAACCGTGCATCTTGGGCAACACTAGCTCTGTGCACTGCCTGGATAATCCCGGCTATATTCATTGTCCTAGTCAACTGTGAGCTAAATACGCCTTGGCGAAGTGACAGTAGCCAATGCAATAACTTGGTATGTAAAACCATCAATACAAACGAAACTGTTTCTCATCTTGCAAGAATAGTACATACGGTGGCAATTCATTGCAGCAGTCGACGTTATAACCGAGCTCCTTCTCTTCCTTCTAGCTGTAATCCTCCTAAAAGGCCTCTTCATGTCCGTTCGCCGCAAACTAACTGTCGGTCTCGCATTTATATTCCGTTTTCCGTGAGTGATCCACCCCAACCTCAAAAATTCTAGACTAATCGCATAATCCCAGCCTCATAATCTTCTCACTAGTCCACATATCAACTCTCCACACAGCCCTAAACAGCCAAGACACAACCCTCGCCGCCGTCAAACCAACAGTCTGGATGCAAGTCGAGCTTCATTACGCCCTAGTCGCATGTAGTGTATTCTGTCTGCGACCCTTCATGGCAGCCGTCAGCACAAACTACGGTACGGCGGGCGACTCGACGCTGGAAAGTAGCGCGTCGCGATCGCGATCAAACGGTACGAAAGAAGACTCCAAGACCGGGTCTGGCTCAAATTCAAATATCGCTTCGAGATCAATGTCGCATTCTCGCAGAAACAGGAAAAGAGCAGGTACGGGGCCATGGCCGCCGCTATCTTATCCGCCCGTTAGTGGCTCTGGTTCTGGTCCTGGTGCTATTTCCAGTCCATCAGAGAACCAGGCTCCCATGCTGGATCCTACGTTGCGCCTTGATACTAGCCCTCATGCGCATGGAGCGCTTAGAAATGACCAAATGGACAGAGATAGTGGTAAATCGGATACAGTGCGTGCGCCAACGCGTCGGTCGATGTTCCCGCTCAGCGCGCCACGCAAGAAACATAGCTCTCAGAAGATGGAAAAGGGGAAGCATGGAGTAAGGGCTGGATCTGTGGGCCCGTTTGCTATGGCGTCGGATTTGATTGAGCTTGTGCCGAGGCCGCATATTCGGCATGCGAGTGGTATGAGTGAGCGAGGGGCTGGGGAAGAGGCGGATAAGATGGTTATTCATAAGGAGGTTAGGTACTCGATTCAATATGAGGATGAGGCGGAGATAAGGAGGCGGGAGGATTTGACGATTAATTCTGTTGATGTTTCTGCTTATGTATAATTTTATTCTTATATTCACATTTCTTGTATGATGTATGGATGTGGATGAAGTAAATGCTGCATATCGTATCCCAAAATCTATAATACCTGTAACGCCAGTCCTGTTGAATCAAACCAAGATATTCTTGATGATAAAGGCTATACACCAAACCTCGATTATATTATAACGCTTCAGCCTTTTAGCCGCTTGAAAGGATGGGCTTCGGTGCTCCTAAAAACAAAATTATTAGCTCATGAAGACAGGATAAACATAGCTGGGAGCAAACATACAGCACATAATCGTCCAGACTGATATGATCTGGCTCAGAAAAGATAAGATAGAGGTACTTCAAAGTCTCGGCAAGCCAAAAGCTCTCCATTTTGTCCTCATGTTTTGGTTTCGAATGACGCACGTCGTTGATAGACGAATGGCCAAAGTTAGTCCGCGTCGCCTTATCAATGTTCTTAAACATGCGCCAGGCAGAGTCCTGGAGACTTTTGTCTCCAGTAATCCGGTACATGACGAACAGAGATTCGACAGCTTCAGGTCTAGACGGGTGGTATGTTAGTGGCTGCACCAAGAGGAATGAGATAAAATCATACCTGAGCTTGTACGATGCATCTCGCACACTAGTCACACCTGGCGGTAGATGCTCAGCCTCAATGCGGCCCTCCGCTTTCTTACGGTCCTCCTCAGTCTCGATAGATTGTGATATGACATCTGACATCCATTGCTCTTCATCCCACGGACAGTCATCAACCTGCTTACAAGGGCTGACCTTAAACACCTCCGGCATAATCCCTGTAGGCATTACATCATATGCCCAGACACAGCCGTCAGTAAGTCCGCGGGCAACATACATATCCTCTGGCCGATTGAAAACTTTAGCCCCAATAGCCACGGTGCCGCCCATGAAGCACTTGAGGTGATCAGGCGCGTACTGGAAGGTTTTCAAGTCACCACGCAGTGCAATGACGTTAGCTGTGAAAAGAACGTGCTGGTCCTCGTCCGGGGTCATCCCTCTGAACAGCAGATTCTCGTTGAATGTTCTAATAGCCTTTTCGTACATCTGGCGATATTTGTCCGTCTGTGCGCCCAGAAGAATATGTTCTTTGGGCAAGTATTCGTACGCGGAATCGGCACATCCGCCGATGGTGAATTCAGAGTTGTCGAATGTCATTAGGTCGGTGTTAATCCATGTCGGCCACATGCCAGGCATCCGGGACTTGTCTTGTCCAATCTCAAGCTCGTTCATAATTCGCTGCACAGCATCATAGTACTTAGGATCACCAGTCAACTGGGTCAGGCGGGTGAACTCCATCGTCAATGAGCCCATTTCCGCTAAGCTCGTGCGTGATGATGGTGTGATTTCTTTGCCTTGGGCAGATCTGGGTAGTATCAGTCTCGAATTCTCGTTGCATATTTCTGTATATTTTGGCGCACCTAGTCCACTCCCAGCGCATTTGCGGCATACGGTTATGCGTATCAAACGCATTGAAGATCATCTCGCCCAGTTCGACAGCCTTTCTCAGCAGTATGGGATGTTTGCCTTTCGTCAGGTCATGAGCAGCAATAAAGCCACCCATATAGCGAATGATAATCTCAAAGACAGGCACATGCGTGCTCTTGGTCGTTGTAAAGTCGATTCCCTCCAAAGCTTCCAGGGCCAGCTGCAGCTCATCATCTAGTCCCATAATTACAAGAGCATCTAGCGAATCAACAAGCGTGGCACCCCAGCCATTGAAAGTATCCTGGTACCCCCCCGTGCGGGGTTTCACCTCATCTCGCATCCACGCATAATCCTTATATCCATTCCATGAATGAAGAAACGCCTCCTTCACAGCATCCCGCTTCTTGAGTCTGGCCTTGCGCTCGCCGCGGGTTTCTTTGGGGAAGTTATACTGGATGCGGGGGATTTTCGCTGAACTTTTTGGTAATGGAATGTACTCTGTAACGGGAAATCGCTCGGTGACTTTATCTAAACGAATGGCATCTTGCCTAAGGGTGCTGTCTTTTCTGGAGATTGGTTTTGGTAGGCGACCTCGGTATGTTTGTGTACTAGGGAGCCAGAAGAAGAAAAAGTATGTTGCACCAATCAGAAATAAGGCTGTTGATAAAGGTCGGTTTTTGCGCTTGTTATGCATGATGAATGAATGAATGAATGAATGAATGAACGAAGGGAGTAGGGGTGCAAAAACCAAGGAAACAACGAACGAACGGTCATAAAGAGCCCAGAGAAGGAGTGCAAGGGTGTGTACAAAGTACAAATCAAATCAAATCAAATCAAATCAAATCAAATCAAATCAAATCAAATCAAATCAAGGGACCAGTACTCCGTGCAAAGGTCGACATTGATGTCTCGGAGATATTAAGCGCCCCGACAGTTGGAGTAAACAAAGGAGAAAATGGACACACTTTTACACAATTTGGCACGTCATGGATTGTGAGAGGTCTCTGTGAATGGGAAGCAGACGCGGCCGATTCCTTTGGAACTCCATTGATCGTCCTTGGTGGCTTTTGGAAGTTTAGTGCAAGGCATGATGTCGCAGAGAGAGTCGAATGATGATTGGTGCAATTTGGGAATTCCATCCCCTTCACATCTGGCCACACAACAAGGGAACACTGCAGGGTCCTAGCTGTTTATTATTAGAGTATTAATACGGAGTAGTCAAGTCTAGACTTGCGACAAAAGCGCCAAGAGGCTCTTTGGTATCTGAGGGCGCCACCAACCCCACTACGGCCCCTGACTCTGATGGAGTAGGAGTTGATCTTGTCGATTTTCAGACTCTTGAAAGATTGACACTTGAAAGATCACAACAGTAACACAATATGAATTTGGAAGCTTGCATGGGCTTTAATATATGTATCTATCCATACTATATTGTGTCAGTGCTTTGGACCTGCATCTGGGATCAAAGAGAGTAGTATCAAGAAGACTGAAAGTTGACCTGTAAGGCTGAAATGTCGAGTCATATCAATATCGAGAACCAAAGAGTCAAAACCTGAAATTGGATATCTTCCTGGTACCTTGCGGTATCATGCAATAAATAAATCAAGAAATAGCAATTATGTATCATTAAACGAAAAAAGATTTGGTTTCACAGTCGAAGTGTTTAGATGTTTGTTGTGTTTGCACCGACAGCTTTCTGGAGAATTGCTGATGTTCTTGACCCCCATACGACCTCGGGAGGAATAGAACAACCTCATATAGATTGTCCAAAGGTACCGGATTCTTGTCATTGTTAGTGCTTATACTGATCAAACTATAGATTGGAAAGCTTTTATCCTGTTTAAGAAACCTCTTTTGACATTCTTCTGGGACTGAACTTGATCATCATTGTTATTGATCGATCTCTATATTATATTGCATGGTCGCCACCTGCTACAGATTCCCTGAACAAATCTCTAGCAGGACCGAAGACGACCGGATAACTCGTCACTGCCAGCTCAAACCATCAATTCACCAATTGTATCCCTCAGCTCAACACTACTGTGCCAATCAGTATCTCTTTCTCGGCGTCTGTCCGGAATATCAGAAGGAAAACAAGCATAAAAAATGCCCATCACAGGGTAAAACACCTCTCCCAATTCAACTAAACCCACCGAACTAACGCTCAGGAAGAGTGTACTTCATCCCCTCAAACCCAAACGCCTCAACGGCCCTCCAAATAGTAACAGAGCGTCTCCGTGCCGCCTTCCCAAATGAAGAACTAACTCCAATCGGTCGCTGGGGCCTGGAACAAAAGCTGCTCCGCGACACTCCAGGCCTGCTTCCTTCCTCATCCTCAAATAAAAAACCCCCAAACCCACGGTATATGCAATTCCTCTCATTAACCCACTACCCAACCCACGGCTTCATCTACACATCGGAGCCTGAGAAACCTGCACCAGAACCAAATCAAAGCCAAAACCAAAGCTCACCAGGCGCTCCCGGCCCTGTCAATGGCATCGCGCCAGACCACTCCCCCTCCCCGCCAATGGTCATGACAACTATTCCTCCCTCATCATACGGGACCCTCTTCCACCATTTCACTTACGCTTGCCAGCCCTTTTGGTGCCACCGACTCACGTTAACTGTCCCGAACGGGATCGTCTACGAGGTTGGTGACTTCCGCGTGCGTCTCGGCGACGTGAGACAGACGTTCCCGACGGCGCGGGTGCGTGGTACGGTTATTGAGATTGAGTGGCGTGGTCCGTCGGTTGTGGAGGCGATCCCTCTAGATCAGGAGGATGGGTCATTTAGTGCTGGTGTTGATGCTGGCGCTGATGGTGATGTGGACGTTGAGACTGCGGGTATCGACCTCGCTAGCTCTGCGATTGAGGAGTCAGATATCGATGCTGAGTATGCGGCAACTGCGTCGCTGATTCGGGAATTTTGGGGGAGACTGGGTGTTGAGGCTCGGGAGGCGATTCTTATTCCGAATGTTGGGATGGAGGTTAAGAATCGACTGAGAAGGTGGAAGAAGGCCGAGTCTGGGGTCGATGCCAAGGTTGATACCATGGTTGATGGGGCTGGCTCTGTGATTGTTGAACGTGCTGAGGAAGATCCTGATCCATGGTCTGGAACGGATGTTGCGAGGCAGTTTATGGAGGTTTTGAGGTTTAATCGATAGATTAGGATTTTGGTATGGGCGGATCGTTACTTCCTATACGCTTGCTACGGTGTTTTTTTTTTTTAGACATTGGCTGGTTAACGAGGTGGTGACATTGAAACAAGCATAGCACCATCAGGGTTATAGGGATATACCCATCATTCCTATATTATGAACACTTGACCCAAAGTACCGCCCAGTCCATTTTATCTGCATTTCAAAGCACACGCTTGATCGTAAATCATCCAAGATGTATAGCCTAGTGAGTATAGACTACAGGAAATCGGTATTGGAAAATTGAAATGGAAGAGAAACATTCTCGTTGGAAAACCGCGACGTCAGCTAACATGGAAAAAGTCGCATTGTGGGAATGCGTCATTTATTTTTGCATCATGAGCTGAACGAACTCGTTGTCTGTGTGAAAATGGAGAGGTTAGCATATGGAGAGGCAAGTGCCGATAGGCTCCAGGATTGTTTCCAAAACATACAGTCGATCCGGCCATCACCATCCTGGTCCGCTTCGCGGATCATCTCGTCCACCTCGTCATCGGTCAGCTTCTCACCGATGGAAGTCATGACGTGGCGCAGCTCGGCGGCGGAAATGAAGCCGTTGTTGTCACGATCGAACACCTTGAACGCCTCGCGGATCTCCTCCTCGGAATCGGTATCCTTCATCTTACGAGCCATCATGGTGAGAAATTCTATCGCATGTCAATAAACGCCTCTCGTGTACATCAGTAGGTAATAGTCAAGTACCTGGGAAGTCAATGGTGCCGTTGTTGTCGGCGTCAACCTCATTGATCATATCCTGCAGTTCAGACTCGGAGGGGTTCTGGCCCAGCGAGCGCATGACGGTGCCAAGCTCCTTGGTGGTGATTTGTCCTATGGATGGGATTGTACGTTAGAATACTTTTTCTCTTGAAATGCGATAACAGAGAACACTGTTGTGGGCTCAACTGAGCCGCCGGGCGCAACCACACGTACCATCGCCATCCTTGTCCTATTTCACAACAAAACAAACTAGCAGTCAGCATATTTTCGACCATCACACATCTTCGATATGTATTTGGAAGCACTCACAAACAGGGAGAAGGCCTCCTTGTACTCAGACACTTGCTCTTCGGTAAGGGAATCAGCCTAGAGGATGCGATGGTCAGTGAGGTTCAAAGGAACAGTGCCCCGCATTGCGGGGGTTTTATTTTCAACAACACAACATGCTGATAAGCTTGGAGGGTCAGGGACATACCATGATGAATGTAGATGGAAAATGCAACAAAGTATGGAGGGGTTAAAATGAGGAAGAGAGTTAAAGGGGAACAGCCTTACGAGAGTTACCAAAATAGCGTGCCTGAGGTGCCCAGTCAGCGTCGTTTCATCTCAGGGCGGTGGGACCCCTCCCAGGGCTGAATGAGCTGAATTGTTTGCCACAATCGACATGTTGACATGTTGATGTGGTGTAATTGTGTATTCTGTGTGTTTTTGTATGTTTTTATTATTTTAACGAGTACATATAGTTCGTATATATAGTTATTTCATGTCTTGATTCTATAGCTCTTTTCAAGTTACTATAGATGCTTCTATTATCTCTCCTTACATCTTGTATCTTGGTGACCATTGTAGATGTACGGAGTAACGAATCGCAAGAAAGCTTGAGCGCGGGGCTCCAGGCCTGCTCCAGGCCTGCTCCAGGGCCATGCTGATAATATGCCGAACAGGGTGTCTGATTGCATGAGGAAGGTCTTGGCTTTTGTTTTTGTTTTCTTTTTATTTCTGCTAATATTTTGTAGAGTTGATGTACTCCGTATACTGCGGGGCCTATAGGATGTATAACCAAGCAGACTTGTATATAAGACATATTATAATGGTCTTTATTGATGAAATACTGTTATTTTTCAGCCTCTTAGCGTTTGAATTTGCACTTAAGACTACCAATTTAGGCAAGTAATATGTACCATGTCGCACTCGGAAATCCGGGGGTGGTCGATGCCACTTTCAATTAAGCACACGACTAAGCCATTTACAGTAATTGGCACTAAACAATGACATGATAGACATAATTCTCTTTTTAGTACTGGAGAATATGTAGGAATCAAGTTGTCTTCACAACTTACCTAGCCATACCAAAATTACCCCATTCCACGTGGACAAAACCACGGATTACATGATGGATACCCGACATACGTGACCCCCTTCCGACATGTGGAGAGCTCCTATCATTCACCTCCTACATCAAGACCTTAAACCACCATTCAATCCCAGCTAACACTCCCATCTGATCATGATTCCTATAATTTCACCAAACCAATAAAAATCCCACTCAACCCGATCCTCCCAACGCCCTCACAATGTGGCGGGATCGCACCAACCTGTATGCAAACCCCATATATCCTACCCTATCCCAAGCGCAACCTGTCAGCGCCGGAAAGACCAGAAAAAGAAAAGAAACGCCACCCATAAAACCCAGAATACAAAGAATAGCAACAACTAACACTCCACCTCCCAAACCCAGCTACCTCTCCTACCGCCAATCCCTAATCCACCATCCAGCCAAAAAGCCGCACTTCACACCAACAAATGGCTTCTCCGATACACCCTCGCACCCCGAGGAAAACAGACGCCTCATATCCGAAACAGACGATGATGGTGACATGGTTATCGAGATGGACCTCCTCCCGCCGCGCTGGGTCGACGTGCAGGAAGAGGTATCCGAGCTATTAGCCGAGATAGCCCAGAACTCCGCTCAGCTTGATAAGCTACACCAGAAACACCTGCTTCCCGGCTTCGGCGATGAGGACTTGCGCAAGCAGGACGAGGGCGTTATCGAGCGCTTGACGCAGGATGTCACACGCTCCTTTCATGATTGCCAGCGCTCTATCATGCGCATCGAGGCTATGGTGAACGAATCTAAGGCGCATGGTGGTGTTACGAGTGGGGAGGAGACTATGGCGAAGAATATTCAGATCTCGCTTGCTGCCAGGGTGCAGGAGGCTAGTGCCAGGTTTAGGAAGAAGCAGAGTACTTATTTGCGAAGTATGAGACCCTTCTCTCTTTTTGTGTCCTTGTTCTCTTCCCACGGCGGAGACGGAATTGGTTGATTCAAATATGCTAATGTGGTGATTTGTTTCTGGGCAGAATTGCGAGATCTCGAAGGTATCGCGACGCCATTCGATAGCGCGCCTACGGCGGCCCAGAACCCATACACGGACCCGTCGATGATGGAATCAGATGCGGACAGATCATTTTCGCAGACGATGTTGCAGCAGACTTCGCAACGGCAGACCGGGCATAATGATGCTGCTATTGCGCAGCGAGAGCGCGAGATCAACGATATCGCCAAGGGGATTATTGAGCTCTCGGATATATTCCGTGAATTGCAGAGCATGATTATCGACCAAGGAACCATGCTGGACCGTATAGATTACAACGTTGAGCGAATGGGCACCGAGGTCAAGGCTGCGGACAAGGAGCTTAAAGTGGTATGTTCCTTCGCCGGCAACTTTTATTCCTCCCTCCCACTTTCTATTATATACTGCTCGAACGAGAAACTGACTCATATAGGCTACGAGTTATCAAAAAAGGACTACCAAGCGTAAGATCATGCTATTACTGCTCTTGATCGTGGTCGGAATGATCATTGTACTGGTTGTGAAACCAAAGCGGAGCAGTTCAGCGCCGCCGCCACCTCCAGAGGACGAATCTTCAAACAATATCCGCTCTGTGTTCGCTTCCCGGGTGCGAAAGCATCAGTTATCGAATCGCTTCGCACGAGATCGGTGGATGGATCCGGATATATTCCGATGACGTTTATCTTTCTGCAAATAGCATTGGTTCCATAGTTAATGTGACCAGAAGGGCAGACATTCCCATTGCATATTGGTGGTTGCTATAGTTGCTATACATAGTTTTATGTTGTAGTTGCAAGTAAAGAGGCACCTAGACCCGACATATATGGAGACGCTAGACAACATGCATGACACTTACACGGGGAAAATTCGGAGAAAATCGGACTACAGGCCTGTGATCAATGCCACATGTTACATACTCGAACTCATACATTAAGTTACTTAATACACGAAAGAAATGATATCCAACATAAGCCGAAACAAGCATGCCCGAGAGGCAGCCGATAGAATAGAAACGACAGGAATATGTAAATCACACCAAACAATGGCAGGCAATGCACATAAATTACCCAAGGTGGCATATGGCCTCGACCAAAATACTTCAAACTCACTTACTGTTGGCCTTGACTGGCAAGCAGGTTAGCCACATCAGCATCTAGGTCGCCAGCTGCAAAAGCCGCGTAGTCCTCCTCGCCATGCGAGATCTTGCGCCTCTTTGCATGGCCATCTGTAGCGATACCGAAGTCATTGCCATGGCCCGGAGAAACAGTTGTAGATTGATCATGGACGGACGTCCCATTGCCTGACTCATGCATTTTGGGGATATCCATGGGGTTCCATTCTGAAGTGTCGTCGTCCGCGTCTTCAGTAAAAGGGCCGCGGCGGAGCTGCTGCTTTTCTAGCTGTGGGGACCCCACCGGCGTAATAGCTTCCACTGGGGGAGGTGTCAAAGCTTCGATTTCTGGGCGGGTGGATGCGTCATCGTGTCCGCTGTTTCCGCCGGGGTTTGTAGAGGACTCTTCACCGGGCAGACCGCGCATAATCGCATCTTCAACCTCGCGCTTCTTGGTATCGACTGAGGCTTTCTTCTGTGAAAGATCAGCACTAAGGGCCTCCTCCTTTGATAGCTCTGCCCGGTTGGTCTGGAGGATCTTCTCAAGTCCGTCGATCAAGACGCGGCGGGACTTGATCACCTCCGAGACGGAGTTCTCTGCGTTGGCGAGCGTCTTCAAGAGTGAACTTAGACGTGCAGCGTGGACGGGCAGTGTAGGCTTCGGGGTCTTAGGATCGTGGAGCTTGTCGAATTCCGAAGTAGCGGTTGTGGCGGAATTGTTGGAGTTGATGACGGCCTTGGTGAGAGCAACCTGCAATGGGTTGAGAGGCTGTAGTTCGGACGGA